TTAGATGACGTTACCTTGCACCTCGCGCAAGTTCATATAATTTGTGGAATATATGCTAGTTTTACCTTGCGCAAGGTACATCTCTAGTATTAAGAGATTCGTGACGTAATCCAGAGCTCTAATCTGACACTATCACTAAGAACCCGGTTACTCGGACAGAGTCTTTCCATGCCTCGATCGTAGCCTTACCAATATTAGGGTTTGGTTGTAATAGTTATAGTGTTCTGGTTAGAGTAGTTTAGTTAGTATTTAGTGTTGTATTGTAGTGTATATCGGTATTATCCAGAAAGAGGATTATTTCCACTTTCTCAACGTACGTACGTATCAATTTTTATTGAATCTATTATGCCGAAATAATTACTTAATCGGATCGGCCGAAAAATCAGTCGGCTAATTTTTTACAAGTGTCCCAGGAATTATGAAAACAGCTGTAATCATTATCGTTATTGATTCAATAGTTTATCAAATAATTATTGAATCAATAAAGGTAAAAGATAAACATGAACCGGTACTCGGGTTGAGTTAGGAACGTCCCGAGTGCCCGATTTGTAGATCGTTACACAATTTATTAAAGATTTTTTTTTTCGAAAGCTCGGATAGATTATCTCTTCTGTGAACCCGTACTAAGTAGACTTGAAGTTTTCGTGCCGTGCTATAATAATTTCAGTTGAATCACTCTGAATCATTCAACCTTCATACTACAATTTACCTACCAAAGTTATAAGTTACAATCACTACGCTGACAAAATCCCATTTGTTGAGCAAATAAAACGAAAAAAAAAACTTAAAATAATGATTAACAACAATAGTGTTGAAGGAAGGAATTAGTATTCTTTTTTATTAACGTGCTGTATAGAAATCTTTAGAATATACGAATAATATCAATTAACTATATAATTTATTAATATTATTACTATAGGAGGGTTTAAGATACGATAAGAAGTTTATATATGTGTATTAAAATTACTAAGATTTTTAAAAATGATAATTGTATAGTGTAAAAGATTAGAAATTTGAGTAGACATAAAATTAGACATAGAATTAGACGTGGAATTTGACGTGGAATTGAATATATATATACGAAGTCATTATTATTGATGGTTTGTAAATAAATAAAACTAAATACTATGAAACAATAAATAATCTTGGGTTAAATTAATAAATAAATTCTGCTTACCTAACAGTAACATTTAACAGCATTTATTTTGAACTTTATCTATAAATTTTTAATTAAATTTGTTGTTTTCATTTTATAAAAATTTACGAGTTGATTGGCTAATCAACATGTGATATTTTTCACATGATAAATATTTACGAGTTTAATTGGTTAAACTAATATGCAGGATCGGGATCATCATTTCCTTATTTGGGGCGCTCCTACCTCAAACTTTATAAATATCGATTTCAAGATCTGTGTGTAACAAAAACGCGTATTTTTTCCACTAAAAATTATTTTCTTTATATCGTATTAGTAAACTATGGTTGGATACTTTTATGAAACATCTCACGAAGATTGGTCTGGCTGAGTGGTATGCCATTAATATTCATGCGATAAGAAAAAGCTTTTGGATAACATGAAAAAGGTTATTCAGGACGTAGTAGTGATCCTATCTCCGAGGTTGCCGGACTAATGGCTAATTCTATGCATGCAAAACTAGAGGAAGGTATTAGTTTTCATTTGTATTGAGCTATTAGCACATTACAGGACTGTTAGTCGTCTGGGTGTTGAACTGTTAGTTCGCTGTAGTTCAAGAGTATAACCTTCTGTACTGTAGCACATTACAGGACTGTTAGTCGTCTGGGTGTTGAACTGTTAGTTCGCTACAGCCCTTTATATATAGAGTAATTTCTCGTATTATAAAGAATAGATTTAAAGTTTGATTTACTCAAAAATTCTGTAGTCCCAGAAATAAGAGCAATTATTTTAAATCTTTGCAAGATTTGAGGAGAAAGAAGCTATTTAACTGGCACAGATAAAAAGTCGTGAAACTGTACAGCTTGCGGAAATAAAGGTACCCTTTTCTTAATTATTTACAATTTTTTGAAATCTACTAATCCTTATTTTCTGATGTAGTCAAAAAATTTGCAAGAGCATACCGTTACAGTAGTGAATTTTCATAAAAACATTGCTAATGATCTCACTACTGTTGATCGTAAACGAAAAGAAAGTGCACTGTAACCGTTGTTGGGAGAGCTTAGGAAAATTATGTGAATAGAAGGCCAATTTAACTCCAACGGTGTACGGGGAGATAATGATAAACTTGGAGAAACAAAGGGAGTCGTTTATAATTGTTGAAGGTCTATTCGACAATATGATACTAGGAAACGAAGGTTTTAACAGTAGTAGGTATGATAATAGGATGATGCAACTACAGGTGATGCTGTTAGGGAAATCTCAATAAGGATGGTGAGGTAAAAGCGGACGATAATTAAGTGATGTCGGGATAACTTTAAGTCCACGAGAGGGGTTAACAGGGTCGAATATCTGATTGTAATTCTCGTTCTCTTCCACAATTCTCGCAAGTCACTAAGGCGAATGGCAATATCTGATTCTACAGCTGTTCCAGAATCTGAGTCTTAATAAGCCGAATCGAAGTTACAAGTCAATTCAGTCCGTCGAATTGAGTCTCGAAAAGGTTTATTAAAGTTACAGTCGAATTCAAAGACAATGCACAAGAGAATATTCAGATAGGTATATATTTGATTCAAGCGGAAGGAAAACGATTTATTTATTAATGATGAGATGGAAGAAATTATTGAAAGTTATCCTTTATTTTATCATTAGATTGAACTAACTACTTCTCATCGCTTTGAACTCTAGGTCCTTAAATACATTTTGAATTCTGGCTATGTTTACTTAGCTATAGGGATGTTTACTTAGTCAATTCCTGTGAATATGCAAGTAGCTTATTGTAACAGGTTCAAACGGCTATGTTTACATATCCACTGTAGTGTTCTATATGCCTTGAGTAATGTTCATATGATTAAGCCACCAAGCCAATTTATCATTACCATTTTAGTATAAGTTATAAAATAATCAAAAGAAATTAATAAATTTACAAAATTGGACATTGTTACCAACATGGATGGGGTATTACTAAGACCCTAGTGTCACCAACTTAAAAAATTTTGCTAAAAAAATTTTCACAGTTAAATTATGGTTAGGTTTTGCTATGAAGTTAGGTTAAAGAAAGTTTTCTGAATACCAAAATTTTGCAAGAAAAACCTTTTGTTAATGTGCAAAAGGCAGTTTCATAGGTAAAATGTTGAGTTATGAACAATTTTTTGGTTTGTTTTGATTTTTTGTGTTTTTTTGTATTATACCAGATCTTGAATTCTGATTGGCTGGTGAAATAGTAGTGAAATTTTTTAGGGTGGTTATGCTAGGGGTTGGGTATTACTAATAAACTATGTACATGTAACAAAGTTATCAGCTAAAATATAGATGTATAACAAAAATAAAGAAATTAAAATTTTATTTTGTTACAGCACCAAATAAAGATGAGGAACTGACTCCAAATGAAGTCAGATATTTGTAGTCTATTACTCATTAGTGATTTTGATAGTATATCTGATTAAAATATTTTCACACAGAACTTTTTTTATAAAACGTGCATGCAATTATAGTTCTGGTAGTGAAAGCGAAGAAAAAGATAAAACTGAAAAAGTTGACAATGATTCAGATGACTGGGAGAAATTAATTTTAAAGACTTTTCTTTTAATGAATGGATTGATGCATGTAGTAAAAAGAGATGGTGCTTGAATAATGGTGAAAAAATCAGAGATACTCTAATAAAAATTACATATCAGAAAATTGAAGAGGCAAATCAATTAGCAAAAGTAGACAGATAAATTATGAGTGTTGTATGTTATAATTATTAAAATCATTTTGATATTATACATTAAATGCATCTATAACATAAATAGGCTTGACCTTTTATCTATTATTGATTTGTCATCAGAGTTTGATGGAGGAATATACATATAGTTTGGAGGTGAGATACGTAGCCTATCAATTATCATCTAAGCTGCAATCAACAAAAATAAGAGTAAATAAATTGAATCAAAAAACCTTTTACTTGAATTCTTTTTATTCTTGGATTTCTTCTTGCTGGTAGTATTTTTTAAATCACCTTGGCATCTTTCTTAACTCCAGTAGCATTTTATATTTTTGAATCACTTTGGTATCGTTTTACTTCTAATAGCATTCTTGAATCTCTAGTATTTTATTACCAATAGTAGCATTCATTTACATTAAGTCTCTTTAGTATCTCTGTTCTTTTCTTTGAATTTCTTTGTTTGAATTTTCATAGCTCGTTCTATTTCTAATTAATACATACTTTTTTCTTTATATATATAGTTTTTTTATCTAAATTTTCGTGATATATTTTTCTCATCTAGGTTTTTTAGCATGTTCAATTTTCCATAATTTTTTTATATATAATTTTTTTAGTGCTTATTGACTGACTGATAGGTTACATATCTTATCTAATGATCTGCATCTAATAGTAATCTGAGACAATTGTTAGTCTGAGACACAACATATATATATTTATAATTAATTTTTAAACATTTTATCATTAGAATTGATATGCTATCAGAAAATTCATATTCTTTTATTAATAAGAAAGGTGAATAAAAGAATTTAACAGAAAGTGAATATATTATAAAAATATTGGGTCCTATATAATTTTTTCAAATAATTATAACATACTCTATTTTAGATAGTAAGTAATATTTGTTAAGTAATATTATAGTTTCTAATTGAGTTTAATTTTTTGGATATTATAGGGGTGAGACAATTTCTAGGCCTACTGTAAACCAATAAATAGATTTAAGAGTATTGTTTGTTGGTAGTAATGTATATTTGTCTTATAAATTTGTATATAAAGCAATACTAATAAAAGTAATCAAAGATTGCAATAAATACATAAGAACTAATAAATATATATTGAATACTTATTTTATGCATAACCTTTCTAAAGAGGCTATTAAAAACTTTATCTTTATAAATTACAATTAGCTAGTAAGATAACTAAATAATATTTAAAAATAATTGTTAATAATAATAGTTGTAACTTATTATTGATTTAGAATTTGAAGAATAAAGTTTTAAAATTGATTTATTTGGTAATAGTTTGTATTTTAGTTTAGAAAAACCAATATATAGATTTTCTGTATAATTAAATGATATTAATATATTGAAAAATTTACTTGAAGTTATATTTTTTATATTTTTAAAAGATAAAAAAGCTTAACTTTGGCTATTTTAATATTTTTAATGATATAAATTACTAATAAAATTTTAATAATAAAAAAATTAAATATTAGAAGATTAATTTTATTAAAAAATATATTTTATACCAAAAGAATTTATTTATTTTTTTTTGTTAACTAGCCTCTTCGGGCTAGAGGTTTTTATTCAGAAATGCGAAACAAGGGTTTATCAAAGAATCTTTATATTAGATAAATACATACTAGCCACATATACACTAGTCGAAATTTTTTAATATAAAAGGCCGATATTTGGAAGATAGCTAGGTGAAACATCTAAAAACAAACATTCGAATAT